GATGATGTTTTCCTAGGTTGGATGCGACGCATCCAACCCTTCTTCCTCTAGCTAAACCACCTTTTCTTCATATTTTGCACTCCGAACACCTTAAATCGTCACACATAACTTAATTAGTCATCAAACCAATAATTACACCATGTTGGGTGTTTTAAAGATTAAATAACATCAAAAAGTGGTTAAAGCATGGGCAAAGTAACATCAACACATATCGAAATATGCCAAACATCACTGCACTAATACACCCCCCAATGTGAGATGAATTGAGGAGAACTACCGTCACAACGTAACTCACGTTGGTGCTAGAGAACAAACACTGCATCGCAATTCATTTCATTTAGGGAAAAGGCTCAAAAATGATTTTGTGGTATTCGAAATAGATTAATTATAACCCCGTTTAAATTTGAATCCAAAAATGACCCTGCCGTTATAAAATGGGTCTAATAATACCCTTGTATTATTCAAAATGATTTCAGTTTTTTCAAATTTTAATTGCTTTAGAAAATTGCTTTTCAGTTTTTTTTTTCAGTTTTTACAAAAATATTGTTTTAGAAAATATTTTTCAGTGTTTGTAAAGCAGGTTTTTTGTAAAAACTAGAAAAAAAATATTTTCTTTTTCTCCAATTTTTAGTAAAAAAAAATTCAGTTTTTACAAAAAAAATTGCTTTAGAAAATTGCTTTTCAGTTTTTTTTTTCAGTTTTTACAAAAATATTGTTTTAGAAAATATTTTTCAGTTTTTTTAAAGCAGGTTTTTTGTAAAAACTAGAAAAAAAATATTTTCTTTTTCTCCAATTTTTAGTAAAAAAAAATTCAGTTTTTACAAAAAAAATTGCTTTAGAAAATTGATTTTCAGGTTTTTTCAAAAACATTGTTTTAGAAAATATTTTTCAATTTTTTCTAAAGCAGTTTTTTTGTAAAAACTAAAAAAAAGAAGAAGATATTTTTGTTTTTTTTAGTTTTTAGTAAAAATAATTTCAGTTTTTACAAAAAAAAATTGCTTTAAAAAATTACTTTTCGGGTATGATTAATGAGTCTTTATAATTAATTAGAAGATATTTAGAATTGACCAGCATGACGATGACACGTGTCCCTCCGTTTATATGAGGGGTATATTTGAACCCTAAGTATGACTGTAGGAGTATAGATAACCCAATAATATAACGAGGGGTATTGTTAGACCATTTTCGAAAGTAAAAGGGTATATTTGGCCATTTGGCGTATTTAGTATTGGAAAGAGTTGAATATACAAGAAAATGCATACATGTATAAAATTAACATAACCTACCTATTCAAGTCAAAATTAAACATTTAACTACACAAAATACAAATGGACGCTCTAAGCATAGACACATTCAAGAATAACAAAATATATTCGTTGATGATTCTCTTTTTCCCACTTGTCCTCCCTCTATCTTTTAAACTTTGTGATTTATTGTCTTGTACGATTGGCAAGGAAATGAAAAGTACTTAAATAAGTGAGAACCACAGAAAGTCGATCTTGACAAAGCATAATTCATGTCGTGAAACACGTGATCACCTGAGTTGAGTTGAGGCTTTTGAGATTAAGGGTCTTATTTAAGCCACCACATACCAACTTATCAAAACATCTTCTTTGTTCTCCCATTTCTCCTTCATATCATATTCTGTTAAAACCATAATATGAGGTGTTTTCCTTTGCTTTTCTTAATTTCAACTATAGTAGCGGTGACTGCAGTGGCCTCTACTTCCAATAATGTAGAGGTTATTAGCCAAGTGGTAGAAATCCACCGTCTAAGGCCACAGACTGGCTCTGCTGGTTATCGCGTCCCACAATTGGACTGTCTTAGTTGGCGTCTTGCTGTAGAGACTAACAACCTTCAAAATTGGAAATTGGTGCCAAGCGCATGCGAAAACTATATAGGTCATTACATATTAGGCAAACAATATCGTCATGACTGTGAGGCTGTGGCCAATGCCGCTATTGAGTACGCTAAGAGTCTCAAACTAGGCGGAGACGGAAAGGACGTTTGGGTCTTTGATATTGATGAGACCACTCTCTCTAATCTTCCTTACTACGCTCGATCTGATGTTGCTTTTGGGTAAAATTACAAAAACCATAAAAATTAATTAATTCCTTTTTGTGTAATTATTTACACGTTTTAGTAGCTATTGCGTACTAGTGTATTTCACGCATTTTTGTGCAGGGCTATACCTTACAACAATAGAAAGTTTAATGCGTGGGTGGCCGAGGGGAAAGCACCTGCCATTCCTTCGATACTTGGAGTATACAAAACAGTGCTGTCTCTTGGAATCAAGCCAGTTTTCATAACAGGGACTCGAGAGTCTTTCAAACAAGTAAGGATCGCCAATCTCAAGAAAGCTGGTTACAGTAACTGGGCAAAGCTTGCACTAAAGTAAGTATATTTATGTGTACTTTTCTTTTTATCCCCAAATGCGATGATTTTTATAGAGTCCCACAAATGTGTATGACTTGTTTTAGTTCAAAAGTTAATTCTTTCTTTCTTACACTTCTTGAAGGGGAGATAACGACTCGGCAACAGCAGTGGAGTTTAAATCAAGCAAGAGAACAGAGCTAGTGAAAGCTGGATACAGAATTGTTGGCAACATTGGAGACCAATGGAGTGATCTGATCGGAGAAAACGTGGGTTCTCGTACTTTTAAAGTCCCTGACCCTATGTACTACATTGGTTGATGTATCCAAACCCCTGATATTTTCTTTCTTGATTCTCAGTAATTTTAACTTAAGCAGTTACCTAATTAACAAAGGGACTAGCTTTCTTTGTTGTGACATGTGAGACGTACGCTAAGCTCGCTGTTACAGTATGAATTCTCCCCNTAAACTGAAGTTTTTAAGTTAGGAAATGGGTAAGAACTTTTGTTTTGCCGAAGGGCTGTATACGAACTATGTTTTGCCCGAGGGGCCAATTATGAATTTCATCACTTTCATTATATATATATATATATATATATATATATATTTGATTAATAGGATACAAGTTGATATTTGATTAATAGGATACAAGTTGGTGACCTAGTTAAAAGTTTATGTGTTTTGAATTTAATACTGAACTTATAATTGTGTTAGTTACAAGTCTTTAATATTATATATATTTAAAGGATTTTTTAATATAAATATAAAATCTAAACAAAAGTTACTAAATTTTTTTGGACACAGTATCTAATACTCTAGTTTCACCCTTGGTTGGTGAAGCTAAGATATGATCTACCCGTGAATTATGCCAAATGTACCAAACAATTATCACCCTTAGGACTTAGAGGTCGTTTGGTAGTGTGATTAAGAATAGATAATGAATAAGGTTTATTAGTAATGTTGAGATTAGTTATGCTGGGATTATTTTTTATCGACGCTTTGATTTGGTGTATTAAAAATTTTGAAAGGACATTTCTGTCTTTATACATGCTTATTCACATATCAACAACTGTGATTGCTAATGTCATGGTTTACTATGTATAAAAATAACACTGAAATACTGAATAAGGTATAGTATTAGTTATACATAAATTAAAAAGTACTATCAAACAAGAGATTAATCATATCAAAGCTAATACATATAGTACTATTATTTTTCTTATAATACATCCTACCAAAAGTCCACTTAGACTTAGCTATCAAGTGATGTATTCTATATTTAATGTGAGGATAAAATACTACTTTCTTCGGTCCACAATAAGTGATTTTTTGTTGTTCACATAGATTAAAAAATTCATATTTTAACATTAATTAGCAATGAAATTGACCATATTAATCTTTACTATCTTTCACATAAACACCCCTTACACATACTCCAACACTATTTATTCCAAGGGCCAGTGGCGGACTCAGAATTTTCATCAAAGGGTGTCAAAATATAAATAGTTAGATATATCAAAAATTCAAGAGTAATCAACGTATAATAAATATATGTAAAATAATTATATAGTAATATAGAGTAATTTTTCGGCGAATATGTGTCGCTTGACACCCCTTGATTCAATGTGGCTCCGTCACTGCCAAAGTCAATATATAAAAAAGATAATTAATTCGTTCTTGAAATCTAAAAAAAAAATAAAATATTTTGAACCACAAAAAAATATTAAAAAATTATTTAATGTGGACCGTAAATAATAGTAGGCCGCATGAGGCGTCAGGTAGTGTCGCAATAATTCTGAACCCCACATTCTAGGACAATAATTAAAACGACATAGGAAAAGACGAATTTGCGAGGACCCATAAGTAGGTTTGCTCTCTTGGCCTGCTTGCCCATTGAACGCCAGGGCCTAGTAGGTGATCACACTCATTAACAAAAATCACAAGGACTTAATACAAATAATAATCAAGATTTTATATAGAGAGAGAGGTTTAGAATATGTTAATAATTATTCAAAGTCACGTTGTCGAAATAGATTGTCCCCCTAATTATATTTCGACCTTTAGAAGCCTTGCACGCTATGCATTAATACGACTAGTGGGATTTCTAGATCGCACTTAGATTTTCTTAATGTTTATATATTAGGATCTAAGATAAGCTCGGTAAGTTCAGTTCAAATTGGCTACTTGCCAAGTTCGCTTCTGTTCAACTTGGAGGGCAGAACTCAATAGCTACTAAAAAAGGATCCAAATTTTTTATTTGATGGGTTAATATTTGATCAAAGTTCATTTGTAGTCACTAGGACCAAACTTATATCATCTGATAGCCATAAAATAACCCCATATAATTAACAGCCCAAAACTAATTAAAAGGCTAGCTCAAGACCACTGTCACTCAAAACCCTAACTTCCTTCTCCCTAAGCGATCATACACTTTTTCCTCAGCCGAAGAAGCCGCTGTCGAAAGCCGCCGTCGTAAGCGTCGCCTCCGTATTGAACCATCAATCAACGCCCTCCGTCGTGATACACTCCCGAGGGGACCGCCTTCACCTGACGACCGTCGCACCCTGTATTGCTCCATTTACACAACTGGACCATAGAAAATGGTCCCTGTATTGGAAGGAACACAAAATATGGAATATGAACACCATGCTGGATGGAGAGGACGGAATCATTTTGGCAGAAACTTTTAAGCCAAAGTGCCATATTTTGCCGGGAATGGTAGAGTTTTATTGAAGAAAGACCTTATTTGGTTAGATTTGGGGCAGTGAAAAAATATGTGTAAAGTATCTACCATAGAGTTAGAGCAGAACTGTTACCGTATTTGCTACTTAGGATGAGTGGTAGAGTTAAATTTACAGCAAATAGTGTGCTAATAAATCTTCCATTGCAATTTTTGATTTTTTTTCCTTTTTCTTTTTATTATTATTAGTTCTCTCTTTTTGGTTTGATTTGTTGTTACTTCAGAGAAAGATATTAGGAATTTTGTCTTGCATGTTCCAAATTACTGCTTAAACTTTATTTGTTGTCATTGACTAGAGAGAGAGGGGCAACCACCCTTTGAATAAAAATCTCAAGCTCTCTGTTATTGTCTCATTTTTTTTCTGGACTAACTTTCTTTGCTAGGGAAATCCTTTGGTTTTCACCAAATAAATTTTCATTTTCACATGTATGTCATTAGTTGATTTTGATGGGAATCATAATTTAAGGCCCACCATTAGTATATATTTATATGGATATTTATGTATTTCTTTCGGTAAAAATAGATTTGAATATTGGTATATTACAAAATATATACAAAATAGACTGTCACTATGCAAAAAATTATACAAAATAGACTGTCACTATATAGTTTATATATAATAAACTGTCACTATACAAAACATATACAAAAATAAATTATCATTATACAAAAAATATACTAAATAGAATGTCACTATATAAAATTTATACAAAATAGACTGTCACTATACAACAATATACTAAATAGACGGCCACTATACAATTTATATACAATAGACTGTCACTATATAAAATATATACAAAATAGACGATCACTATATAAAATATGTACTAAATAGACTGTTACTATGCAAAAAATATACAAAATAGACTGTCACTATACAAAATAGACCGTCAATATACAAAAGAGATTGTCACTATACAAAAAATATATAAAATAGATATTTCGGGCTATTAGATGCAATAAGTTTGGGCTGAAGGGCCATTTCGTGTCAGTGAAAAAAAATATGGGCTATTAAAATTTTGAGGGGCTATAGAGGGTAGTTTTCTCTAATATTTAGGCTCTTTTGAGTAAGCCCGTTACATTTTTAAAATTATGGATTCTTAATCTATTATTTATTGGACTTTTAGTGATTTTTCACATATATTTTTTATCTTCATAGGCATATCCAGCGTAAAGGCTATGGATCATCTAAATCATAGCTTTTGCTTATACTCTATATTTTTGCCAAAAAATATTAAATATATATAAATAATAAATTTTAAACTTATTAAATTAGATGAGATTTGGTAGAATTATAAATCTGAAATCATAAAGTTCAAATTCTAGATCAATCTCAGCCTATGTTCCATGAACCCTACAGTACGTATATTTTCCATCCACCACTGACTTCCACTGTTCCACCATGCTTTATCTTGAGTACTTATGATTTCCATTCACCACTGACTTCTTTGTTCTACCGTGCTCTATCTTGAAGGAAAGCGGATCAAAACTGAGTAAAGTATATTATATATATATATATAGGGGCAGACCTAGAAGTCTGTATACGGATTCCGCTGAACTCATTAGCTTTTGTTCAATATTATTTTTGTGTTAAGAAATTTATTAAATTTATATAAATATTAAATTTAAAACTTAGTTACTGTTGGTTCCAAATGTATACGCAAGTATACGCGGTCGACAAGTGATAAAGTGATAAGAAAGTATCGTTCCCACAAGAATTTATGATCAACTATTATCCAATCCAAGCTATTTATAAATTTAATGCTCAAGTGAGTGTGAAAAAGATGGTTGTGATTTTTGTAACTAAACTACTGGGACTAACAAGCAAGCAAGAAAATAAGATCGCAAGTAGAGCAAACAAACACTTAGAAAGAATTCAATGAGATGGAGATATTCTAGGGTTATGGGATTGACGTCTCTCCTATTGCGTTTTTCAGGTTGATGAAATCACTTGACTTATCTAATTTGTTGATTAGCAGGGTTTATTATGCTCGCGAAGTTCTTTCGATGCTTCGCTCGCTTATTCAAGCCAACCTAAGACTATATGTCTATAGAATCAAACTTGACAAGAATGCATGTAAATTTCCTGCAGAAATAACCAAGTAAGGCAATCATAATATATCTATCCTAATCACGAATCTATTCTCTGATACTCGAATATAAGAACTTACTCTATTCAATCCTATATGCAATTTATAGTTCCCACTTTCGAGTTCAACTATAAATTCAAAGATTGTACTTAATTGTTAGCTACGCAATAGAATAATTAAGTGCAAGATTGAGTAAACAAATTAATATGATAAAATCAAGCAAAATAATCAATCGTCAATTTACAATAGTCAAGAACGACCCATAACTTCAGAATAATGAGGTTCTTAGCGATTCATATTCATAACAATAATCAAAATATCGTTTTTAAACATAAAAGCTATGATAAGTAGAAGAAGATTGAAAGAATTGATGAATTCCGTGCTCCCGAGTATTTCGTACTTGTATTTTCCTCTCCAAGTGGCGTCCCCCTTGCCAAAATAGGTTTAGGTTTACTTTTATACGAGTTAGGGGCGTCTTGGGGTTGAAATAACCGAGTTCCAAGCGAACTAGGACAAATTCATGTCACCAGCGCCTAGGGTAGCGTGGGGCGCTAGCTCTGGCACTGGAAATCTGGGGGTTTTGT